CGCACAGGCAGGAGCAAGTAGAAAACAATTGTTTTAACTAGCTCGCAGGATTTCGCCACGCTGTGTATCTTTGAAAACAGTTGCACAACTCCTTGAGCATTTGGCTATATCCTCCTGTTGTTAAAAAACTGTCTTCAAATTGCAACTTGTAACAATCGCCCGTGCTGACTCAAATGTGTATACTCATGAGACTCGCATGTGGCTCCAATGTAGCTCAAATGTCTTCATGCGAGCTCACAGTTATATAACGGTTTTTACCGTTTGAAAAACGGAGTAACCGAATTGTACCTGTGTCGAAATGATTCCGCAAAGCAGAATGACCTTCGCGAGAAATTTCGATTCCCGTGAGTCAACGCGGGATACAGTTTTTCAACTGTAATCCCGAGCACCCTCCGTGCCACACGCACGACCGAGATTTTCTCTCGGTCGTGCTGTACAGAACGATCGCTACAGCGATCGTGCGCTGTACAGTGCGGGACAGGGCCGAAACGTGCCCTGTCTTGTTGCGATCGTGCTGTACAGCGCGATCGCAACAGTGCGCGGCACACGCGCGTGCCCTGTGGGGCCACACGCGCGTGCCAGGACCCACGTGTGGGTCCTGACTTTCGCGCTTTTGACCCGCCGCGAAAAAGTCAGGCACCCCCTTGATTAGTCAACCAACCGAGCACCCCTCGGTTACACCACCCGCTCGCATGAAACCCCAATAAAGCCTCGAATTTTCACGCGACATCAAATAGTAGCCAGCCGAGGAGCGCTCGTCCCAATCTTCCTGCAGCGTGGGGTCACTCGGTCTAGGCTCCTCCCCAATCATTAGTTTCAGCAAACCGATCTGACGGAAATATAATTGCATTTCCAGGCCCAATCATCATAGCCCTCACCATTGAACTTCTCGACGGTGAAATTCTTCAGCACCTCCTTGACAAGCGAGCCCTGGTTTGTTCGCGCTCCCCTTGGCGGCTGAAAGACTAGAATCTTGGCTGTCGCTACGATCTTGGGCTGAAGATTCACCAGCTCCCGCCGAGGTGTTGCCCGCCATAGCTACCTATAACGAGGATCACTATAACGCAGCTCTGATACCAGCTTGTTGGTGTAAGGGCCTAATAAACTCAAGCTATTAGGACTTAATCAAACTTAAAACCTCTCCTCGGGGTCACCTCCAAGGGTCCCTGGGTGCTTGGTACAAGACCAGCCCCTATCCTCGGGTCCGAGTTTGTAGAGAGAGGGATCAAGAAGGACTTAGTCAAAACAGCAAGAGTACCTTGAACGTCGTGCAGCGTGCCGTGCAGACCGTCGGTCGGATTAAGCTGAGAATTCGCTATATCGAAGCTCGCTCCAAGAGCTTTAAAATGAGCCAAGTTGCCTCGCGAAAAGTTCTGCCATTACTAAGTTATGGCTCGGACAGCGTTTGCCTAGCGTTGGAGTGCTAGCATACTAGCGTTGACTCAGGTAGCATTCCGCCGTCGAATAGCGCAGAAACGAAATTCCAGCGAGGAAAGAATTCGCTTGAATCAATTTGACTATATTCAGGTACAAACAGAGAAGGATTAAATAGTTCTAGCTAGCAAGGATCTTGGGAATCAACCTGGGAACAACCAGGGATGATCCCAAATAATTCCAAGCAACAGAACCAACCTGGCTGGACAAAATAGCAGGTGGTAGTTTGGTAAACAACCTCTGGTTCTGTTTTTCCAACCTGGGAAAACAACAACCAGGTTCAGGTTCTAAAAACAGAACCTGTTTTGTCTTTTCCCAACCAGCCAAATGCTGGTTCCGCTGGTTTCCCCTGGCTTTGTAGCATGCAGATACAGACAAACAACATCCAACCTTCACCTAAATTGTACCCTATAGTGCCTTCCCTGCTACACTATAGTTAACCAAACAAAACAGTACAATTTCGAGTTGGATAGAACTGAATCTGCGCAATCAACTCAACCGAACTGCAAAGCTTCCATCTTGGGTTCCTTTGCGAGCTCGTCCTTCCTGCTTGCACTGTTCATGGCGCGTACAATGTTGTGCCGAAGCGCACATTGCGCGAGTACCTGCAAATGCATCAAACGAAAAAGCGAAAGCAAACAAACACACGAACATTCCATTCACACCCAAATGCATTCGCACACGCATACTCGTACAAACAGACGGCAGGATGTCGTGCAATGTGCATTTGCACCCAACAAGGCCAGGACACGACGCGAGGTGGAGGGTGGGGTGGTGGTAGAACTGCCAGCCAGGGGCGTCCGGGACAAAGCCAAGGAAGACGCAGGGGACAGCGCGACGGGAGAGCTTGTCCGCGGACGTGTCGCGGACAAAAGCTCGGGATCCCCAGACCCGAAAACGCGACGCATCGCCAGCCTCTCCCGTCCAACGCAGTGTCGGAGAAGTCTCGGGCAAGGAGACACGGGGCCAGAGGTTGAGCTGATGCGCAGCGTATCGGACTGCAAACGGCCACAGAAAATGGGGGGCAGCCGCATGGCTCAAGGAGGTACGAGCGACCTCCATGACCAGGCCAATGCGGCGCTCAGCAAACCCATTCTGCTGTGGAGAGGCCGGAAGCGTGTACGACTGCTCAATGCCCTCCTGCTGACAGAAGGCCTCCAATAGGCCAGAGGAAAACTCCCACCTCTGTCAGAGTGCAGACGCAGGACAGGGAAGTCGGAGCGGAAACGCTCACGGAGCTGGAGACGAGATCTGCGGATCCAAGGGATCAAGACATCAGGGACGTCACCCTTGGCGCGCAAGGGGAAGACCGTGGTGTAGCGCGAGAAGTCGTCAACAACAATCAGGAAGTACCTCTCCTGACCCTGACCACGGACGCGGGCTGGGCCCCACACGTCCATGTGGAGCGTCTGCAAGGGAGCAGTGTCGGGGGAGGCGGAAGAAAGAGGAGGAGTGAGGAGCGGCGCGCTGCCGTCCCTCGACACAGGGAATACAGGGAGGAGCAGGCGAGTCGGGAAGGGGAGGGAGCACCCTGGGAAGACCAGCAACAAGGTCCCGTTTGTGCATGGCCCGAAGGCGCTGCACAGACGGGTGACCAAGGCGGTGGTGCCAAAGGACAGTCTCATGCGCCAGAGAGCGACACGAGCAGGGGGCGGACAGCTGACCTGACGCAGACGCAGACGCGGACGCAGCTACCTGAGGGGACTCAGTGGTCAGTGTGTAAAGGTCCGACCCCGGCTCCCGAGTGAAGGTAGCCAGGTGGCGACCCGTCCGAGCACACGTGTAGTGTGTCACGCGCTCGTAGGCAGGGGTGAACTGGTGAACACCCCGTCTGGGAGCGCACTACCTGCCACCAAGTTCGTAGAGAACGAGGGGAGGTAGAGACCTGACAGCGTGCCGGACGGGACCGCCGGACAAGGAAGGACAGTGGAGGAGGTCGCAATGACCGGACCCCCAGAGGGGTCAGCAAGGGAGACAGCAACTGGCCGAGCGAGTGGCTCAAGGACAGTGCGGTCACGAAAGAAGGAGCGAGAAGCACCTGAGTCCAGTGTGAAGGTGTGCAGTGCTGCAGTCGACTCAGTACCAGGGGGCACGGACGCACGAGCACCTAGGGCTGCAGCCTCACCAGGACCTGTGGGAGTAGACGCACTAGCACCTAGAGCGGCAGCCGGCCTGGCCTGAATGCCCGGGTCGGGCGGAACACGCAAGTACTGAGCACCCTCTCCACTAATAGACATCGCATACATGGCAGTGAGAATAGCATCAAAGTCTAAAGCCCAAATATCAACACCCCTCTTTTCCAGATCAGCCCAGCGCGGCAACTCAGTGGCAGCAGGAAACTGAGTGCGCCACGCGTCGTTAAGGCGCGCGAAGCAGCGCTGCGTGGGGTGCGGCCTCCCACACTGCTGGCCGCTGCGGTCACCTGTGCGAATGACGTACGTGCAGGTAACGCTACGCTGCGCATACCACTCACGGGCGGCCTGAAGCGTCGGGGCGGGCTGCTGACTCTGCCCTCCGCCAGTGCCTCCACGACCACCACCCCCACCGCCGCCGCCCCGGCCACCTCCACCCCTGCCGCCGCCACGACCACCTCCGCCTCCGCTGCCGCCTCCACCACCACTCCCACCGCTGCTGTCTCCTCCCCCACTGCCGCCACTAGTCTCCCCAGCCGCGCCTCCACTCCCACCGCCTCCACCCCCACCTCCTCCGCCGCCACCCCCACCCCTGCCCCCCTTGTTCCCCCCCCCCGCTCTGGATCACTCTCTACCACATCGTCACCCGCCTCCCTGACTCTCTGCGCGCAGTCAGGGATCACTTCCTCTCTCGCTCCCCCACTGAGCTCACTGTTGCCCTCCTCGAGAAGGAACTGCTTGCAGCTGAGGCGAGCATCGTCGCTGTAGGCACCTCTCGTGGCGACCCCCGCACCCCGTTCTTTGAGGGGTGTTCCCCTTCCCCCCTCCTCCCCTCTGTCGCCTCTGCTGCTGCTGTCGACCTTCTTGGTGCTGAGAAGGTCGGGACCGCGTCTGCTAGTGAGAAACTCGGCAGGCATAGCAGCGCGAAAGCGGGCCTCACTAGTCTTAAGGTGGGTGATGAGGTCTGCGACAGTGTGAAAGGAGGCTAGGTCGGGGAACAGGTAGGGGAGAGTGAGGCGGCCTAGCGTGGCAGAAGCGGGTGAGGAGTAGCGGGCAACTACAGCGGTGTAGAGGTCCTTAGCAGTCTTGCACTGGCCGAAGTGCTCGCGCTCGTCTAGCGGCAGGGAGTTGCGAATAGCAAAGCGAGCGTGCGCATCACGGGTCTGCCACTGGGAACGCAGAGTGCTGTCAGCAGACGAGTCAGGGGCAGTGGCATGGCCTAGGGCATGGTCGTACAGTGAGATATCTTCCTTGGCAGTGAGCTGTAGGAACAGGTGCAGGTCATCTAGCCAGGTTTCGAACTTCACTGGGCGGCCCTCGGCATCGAAAGCTAGAACGGGAGGGCCCTAGCATAGTGAAGACAGTAGCAGTAGTAGGAGAAACAGTAGCGGTAGCAGAAGAAGTAGCAGTAGGAACAAGGCCGCTGGAAAGGTGTGCGCAGGGTCAACGGGGCCGGCGTGGTGCACGAGCGGCAGTAGTAGGGAGCGCGACAGCAGGAGCTGCGGCGCACTAGCGGTAGCGGGCGACTCGCGGGCGGCGGCTGCAGAGGCGCACGGGCGGCAGCGGCTTATACGCACGGGCAGCAGCGCCGACAGCGCACGGGCGGCTGCAGCAGCGAGCGGTGCGCAAGCAGCAGCGGCAGCAGCGCACGGGTGGCAGCGGCGTCGGCGGACGGGCGGCTGCGGGCAACGGGCGTGCGGCAGCTGCGGCGGCGAGCTGCGGGCCTGCGGGGCCACGGCGGGGTGTGCGCGAGCAGGCGACGGGCGGCTGCAGCAGCGGGCGCGTCAGCGAGGCGCACAGGCAGCGCGCGGGCAGCGTGCGGGGCCGCGCGTAAAGAAAACAGCCGCGCGCGTGCGGCTAGCGGGGCGCGCGCAGCGAAATCGACCGCGCGCGGGCGGCTAGCGGGATACGCGCGCTAAAAAAAAAGTCGAGTCGCGAACGGGCGGCTGGCGGGCTGCGCGCGCGCGGTAGGTAGGAGGCGCACGAGGGCGCGTAGGCGCACGAGGCGCACGGTAGGTAGGTAGGTATGTAGGTAACGGTGGGCCCTAAGAACGGTCCTAGCGAAGGACCTGCTCTGAAACCATGTCAGAAATAACGGACTGGAATGATGGACTAGCAAGGATTGTGAGTACAAATATGAAACCCTAATGTTGTGACCCCCCTATAGGCTAACCCACTACAGCCTACACAAATACAACATGTATAATGTTTGACAGTCCAGGGGGTGCAGCTCTGCTCCAACCTTAGCAGATGCGTCTCCTTGCTCCCCCTTGTCTCCCACATGGAAGAATTGGCCCGCGGAGCGCTCCTTCTTCTCCGCACCACCGTTGCCCTTCGGGTTGTTTTCGGACGAATCAGTGACCATGTTCGCGTCATTCTTCTGGTTCCTCCGCGCGCTACCATCCTCGTGATGATTCTGGGGGGTCCATCTATCGGGTTTCTTATAGCACAAAAACCAGGGGTGCCCCTCCTTCTCACAATACCAGCAACTCCCTTTCATTTTGCCACCAGCAACCGATTCGCCCCCACATCCAGATTTTGCACCACGGCCCCAATCGGTACCTCCTTGTTGGTCGTTGGAGTCGTCGTCCTTCTTTGCACCGAGCCCAGCACTACCAAAGCTGCTCCTGCCATCGTCTCCACCCCTCAGTTGGCGGCGACGGAAGTCCTCCTCCAGAATCTTTGTCCGCACCCATTCGAGCGTCCACAAGCTCTGGTTGTGCGGCACACTTAATCTGTTCGTGAATTGAAGCCACGATTCCGGCAGCAGCGAGAGCATCTTCAGGCACTTGGTCTGCTCCGGGTAGGTGATTCCCGCAATCGCCAGCTTCGCGTAGAGGTCGCGCATCTTGTCCAAAAAAGGTTGCACCGGCTTTCTCTCGCTCAAGTGCAACGCGGACAGCTCCCTCTCCATCATGAGTGTCGCGGCGATGGAGGTCGAGGCGTGCAGCTCCTTCAACACGGTCCATGCCTTCGGACCGCACTCAACCTCCGGCAGCAGGTGCATGACGTGGTGACGCTGGTTTAGCTCCAAACTCTGCGACATCAAATAGTAGCCAGCCGAGGCGCGCTCGTCCCAATCTTCCTGGAGCGTGGGGTCACTTGGTCTAGGCTCTGTTGGTGTATGGGCCTAATAAACTCAAGCTATTAGGACTTAGTCAAGCTTAATACCTCTCTTCGGGGTCACCTCCAAGGGTCCCTGGGTGCCTGGTACAAGATCAGCCCCTATCCTCGAGTCCGAGTTTGTAGAGAGAGGGACCAAGAGGGATTAGTCAAAACAGCAAGAGCACCTTGAACGTCGCGCAGCGTGCAGTGCAGACCGTCGATCGGATTAAGCTGAGAATTCGCTATATCGAAGCTCGCTCCAAGAGCTTTAAAATAAGCCAAGTTGCCTTGCAAAAAATTCTGCCATTACAAAGTTGTGGCTCGGATAGGGTTTCCCTAGCGTTAGAGTGCTAGTTTACTAGCGTTGACTCAGGTAGCATTCCGCCGTCGAACCGCGTAGAAACGAAATTCCAGCAAGGAAGGAATTCGCTTGAATCAATTGACTATATCCAGGTACTAACAGAGAAGGAAAAAAATAATTCTAGCTAGCAAGGACCTTGGGAATCAACCTGGGAACAACCAGGGATGATCCCAAATAATTCCAAGCAACAGAACCAACCTGGCTGGAAAAAATAGCAGGTGGTAGGTTGGTAAACAACCTCTGGTTCTGTTTTTCCAACCTGGGAAAACAACAACCAGGTTCAGGTTCTAAAAACAGAACCTGTTTTGTCCTTGCCCAACCAGCCAAATGCTGGTTCTGCTGGTTTCCCCTGGCCTTGTAGCATGCAGATACAGACAAACAACATCCAACCTTCACCTAAATTGTACCCCTATAGTGCATGTCCTGCTACATTATACTCAATCAAACAAAACAGTACAATTTCGAGTTGGATAGAACTGAATCTGCGCAATCAACTCAACCGAACTGCAAAGCTTCCATCTTGGGTTCCTTTGCGAGCTCGTCCTTTCTGCTTGCACTGTTCATAGCGCGTACAATGTTGTGTCAAAGCGCACATTGCTTGAATACCTGCAAATGCTTCAAGCGAAAATTGCGAAAGCAAACAAACACATGAACACACCATTCACACGCAAATGCATTCGCACACGCATACTCGTACAAACAGACGGCAGGATGTCGTGCAAAGTGAATTTGCACCCAACACCCCCTTAGCCTGCCGGCTGCATTTTTATCATTCTATGCTAGTTCATGTTTATTCCACTTATGCGCACACAACGCCAATGAGGCTCATCCGCAAGCCTCTTGGCGAGAAAGTCTGCTGGCTGGTGGTGTGTCTTGATGTAGATCGAATTCACTGTTCCCCTCTTCACCTTCTTACGCAGCCAGTGCCACTTGATACGCATGTGCTTGTTCAGCCCATGAAGCACAGCGTTCCTGGCCATCCCAAGAGCCCCATTGCTGTTACAAATCATCAGCGTAGCAACCTTCTACTCCTGGCCAATCTCCTCTAACAGCCTCCTCAGCCAAATCACCTCCTTCACCCCATGGAACATTGCCATGTACTCTGATTCCACGGAAGAGAGTGCCGTCTCTGACAGCTTCTTGGACCTCCAACTAACAGGTCCACCCCCAACTACGCAAATGTATCCTCCCATAGATGAGGAATCCTCCTTCTCAGAAGCCCAAGTAGCATCGGTAAAGCAAGTGTAAAAGAGCTTGCCTTCTCCAAGCCTCTCCCCCTTCTCTTTCAGCACCTCAACCCCTTTCTGCTTCACCTGTGCAGATGCGGAGTATTGAACTCCAATGCTTGGGTGGGAGTTCAGATACTTCACCACACGCTCAGCTGCATCCACCTGCTCCTCTGATGGATTCTGCACCACCCTGGCCAGCTGCCCAACCGAGAAAGAGATGTCAGGCCTCGTGTGAACAGCTGCATACAAGAGGCTGCCCACCAAGCACTGGAATTGCTCATCGGCTTCAACCCCTTCATCCTCTGCAGCCTTCACAAGCTTGAATTCTGCTGGCAGAGGAGTTGCAACCTTGCGCTCATTCTCAATCCCATACTTCTCCCCCAGCTCCTTGATAAACTTCTCCTGGTGCAGCTTCAACCACCTGTGATCTGGATCCCTCTCCACGTGCATCCCGAGGTAGTATTTTACCTCCCCAAGGTTCTTGCACTTGAAGTTTTCCATCAGCTGCTGCTGCACTTTCTGGATCTCCTTTATGCTGCTGCTGAAGAGAAGAATGTCGTCCACATAGACCAAAAACAGCACCAGCTTCTCCCCCTCCCCCTTGAGAAAGAGGCTCTCATCACAGCTGCTGGTTTTGAATCCCATCTCTAAAACAGCTTCCAACTTCTGGCACCAACAGCGTGGCACCTGCTTCAAGCCGTAGATGGACTTTTTCAGCTTGCACACCCTGCCCGTACCATCCTCATACCCAGGCGGCTGCGTCATGTACACATTCTCATCTAAAATCTCATTGAGAACTGCCGTTGATGTATCCATCTGAATGATAAATTTCCCACTAACGGTTGATAAGACACGGAGGGTAGGGGGTTTGGCAGTGGGAGCAAAGATCTCGTTGAAGTCCTGCTTCTCCTTCTGCATAAACCCCTTAGCCACCAGCCTACTCTTGTAGATGGTGACCTGTCCCTCGTCATCTGTCTTGATCCTCAGCACCCACTTGCACTGTACGGCTTTCTTCCCCTCAGGCAGCACCACCAGATCCCATGTCCCATTCTCTAGCAGGCTCTGGTACTCAGCATCCCTAGAAATCAGCCATTTCTCCCTATCTGGTCCAGCTAATGCCTCCTCCATGCTAGCTGGTTCCTCTGGCGCAGGGGCAATAAAATAGTAGGCAGGTTCATCTTCCTCATCTGGGTCATAGCTACGAGGTAGAATCAGCATTGCCTCCTCGGTCCCAAGCTGCTGCTCCGCTACACCTGATCCTGCAGTCAGCTTCTTAGTAGCCATACGGGTACGTCCTGGCCTGGAGACGGGTGTCTCCCATCCCCTCATAACGACACCCTTCGGCTTCTTAGTTTTCCCCTGCTGCTGCTCTCCTCCCTCGGATCCAGCAGCTCCACTAGTGCTGCCGCCGGTTTCCACACTATTGCCTCCACCAGCAGGTACCTCATGTACCATCTCTCCATTACCAGTCCCCGCAGATGCCTCCTCTCCCTCCTCCCAGACACTAGGAGTCAGGTCCAGCTGCATGGTGATCTGCTCCATCTGCTGGGACACCCTTGCCTCCGGCTGTTTCTCCCAGCTCCCATATATCATGCCCTTAATGAATTTCACATCCCTGCTGTCAAACAACACATTCTTAGATGGTTCTCTCAGCAGCCAGCCCCAAATGCACACACCAGATTGCACTCGCCCCCAACTTACTGCGGTAGGTCTTGGGGACGTGGGCGACTGCCATGCAGCCAAACACCTTCAGCATGTCCACCGGCGGCTTCCTCCCAAGCCACCTCTCCAACGGCACCCACGAGTCATCACCAACCTTGGTGAGTACCCTGTTCCTAGCGACGGTAGCGTGCCGGACAGCGTGAGGCCACATGGAGTTGCAAGCCCGGATTCTATGAGCGGCGCCCTAGTTGTCTTTAGAAAAGTCCGGTTCGCCCGTTCTGCTACACCGTTGGACTGTGGGGTGTAAGCCATGGTCAGCTCCCTCTGGATGCCCTGCTTCTTGAGCCAGGCCGTCATTTCAGCTCCAAGGAACTCATCACCCCGTCTGTCCGAATCTACTTTACCACACACTCGACTTGCTTTTCCACGAATGGCAGCCAGTCAATTCGTATCGTGGAGGCAGCGTGGTCCTTCTGCTTCAGCGGATATGCCCACATCAGCCTGCTCCAATCATCCACAATTGTAAGGAAATACCGCTCCCCCTTGTGCCCTTGCACCGGCAGCGGCCCCACCAAGTCCATGTGGACCAGCTCCAACGGCTTCTTGCTCCTGCCAGCCACACTATGGAAAGGGAAACGGGTGAACTTTGAAAGCAGGCAAATTTCACAGTTTTCATTAGGTTGCTGTCCTTTCAGCTTCAAGCCCTTAACGGTTCCATCTCTCTCCAGCTGCTTCAGCAAAGACATTGCCACATGCCCCAAGCTTCGGTGTGCCATTGCCCAATCTGTCTCCCCAGATCTGGCCGACACTTTTACACCAACCCCTCCAACGGCGTTGCACTCCCCCTGGGATGCAGACCCCTCTCCAGCCTGCCACTCACCGTGCCACGCCAATGCCGGCAGCTGCCACATGGATCTGTACACGTCCTTGCTCTCATGCAGATCCCAAAGCACCCGATTGCCCAGCTGCCCCTTATAAGTGCGAGCCCCATCCGTGTTGGTGTTCACCCCAGCCTTGCCAAGCTTACGGAGGGAGATAAGGTTGGCCTTTAGTTCGGGGATGAGGAGAACGTCGTGCAGCACCACCGGCTTGCCATCTGCTCCCTTAAACGCAGCTCGTCCCGCACCAGCCACCATCAACATGTGTTTAGAGGCGGAGCACACCTCGTTAATCGGTGCAGCGCGTACGTCGTCCAGCAGGTCCTTGCGCGGCGTCATCGTCCAAGCAGCGCCTGTGTCCAACACCCAAAAGTCCAGGGGGTGCAGCTCTGCTCCAACCTTAGCAGATGCGTCTCCTTGCTCCCCCTTGTCTCCCACATGAAAGAATTGGCCCGCGGAGCGGTCCTTCTTCTTCTCAGCGCCACCATTGCCCTTCGGGTTGTTTTTGGACGAATCAGCGACCATGTTCGCGCCATTTTTCTGGTTCCTCCGCGCGCCGCCATTCTGGTGACGATTCTGGGGGGTCCATCCATCGGGTTTCTTATAGCACAAAAACCAGGGGTGCCCTTCCTTCTCACAATACCAGCAACTCTCTTTCATTTTGCCACCAGCACCTGACTTGCCCCCACATTCAGATTTCGCACCGCAACCCCAACCGATACCTCCGTGTTGGTCGCTGAGTCATCGTCTTTCTTTGCGCCGCGTCCAGCACCACCGAAGCCACGTCCTCTGCCATGTCGGCTCCTTTGCATCCCGTAGCCGCTGCTGCCGTCATCTCCACCCCTCAGTTGGCGGCGACGGAAGTCCTCCTCCAGAATCTTCGTCCGCACCCACTCGAGCGTCCACAAGCTCTGGTTCTGCGGCAGGCTCAATTCCGGCAGCAGCGATAGCATCTTCAGGCACTTGGTCTGCTCCGGGTAGGTGATTCCCGCGATCACCAACTTCGCGTAGAGATCGCACATCTTGTCCAGAACTGGTTGCACCGGCTCTCCCTTGCTCAGGCGCAACGCGGACAGCTCCCTCTCCATCATGAGCGTAGCGGCGATGGAGGTCGGGGCGTGCAGCTCCTTCAACACGGTCCACGCCTTCGGACCGCACTCAACCTCCGGCAGCAGGTGCATGACGTGGTGACGCTGGTTCAGCTCCAAACTCTGCGACATCAAAAAGTAGCCAGCCGAGGCGCGCTTCTCCCAATCTTCCTGAAGGGCGGGGTCACTCGGTCTAGGCTCCTCCCCAATCATTAGTTTCAGCAAACCGATCTGACGGAAATATAGTTGCAATTTCCTGGCCCAATCATCATAGCCCTCACCATTGAACTTCTCGACGGTGAAGTTTTTCAGCACCTCCTTGATCAGCGAGCCCTGGCTTGTTCGCGCTCCCCTTGGCGCTGAAAGACCAGAATCTTGGCTGCCGCTACGATCTTGGGCTGAAGATTCACCAGCTCCCGCCGAGGTGTTGCCCGCCATAGCTACCTATAACGAGGATCACTATAACGCAGCTCTGATACCAGCTTGTTGGTGTAAGGGCCTAATAAACTCAAGCTATTAGGACTTAATCAAACTTAAAACCTCTCCTCGGGGTCACCTCCAAGGGTCCCTGGGTGCCTGGTACAAGACCAGCCCCTATCCTCGGGTCCGAGTTTGAAGAGAGAGGGATCAAGAGGGACTTAGTCAAAACAGCAAGAGTACCTTGAACGTCGCGCAGCGTGCCGTGCAGACCGTCGATCAGATTAAGCTGAGAATTCGCTATATCGAAGCTCGCTCCAAGAGCTTTAAAATAATCCAAGTTGCCTCGCGAAAAGTTATGCCATTACAAAGTTGTGGCTCGGATAGCATTTTCCTAGCGTTAGAGTGCTAGCGTACTAGCGTTGACTCGGGTAGCATTCCACCGTCGAACCGCGTAGAAACGAAATTTCAGCAAGGAAGGAATCCGCTTGAATCAATTGACTATGTCTAGGTACAAACAGAGAAGAAATATATAGTTCTAGCTGTCAAACATTGTATGTTTATATTGTGTAGGCTGTAGTGGGTTACACCTTAGGGGGTACACAAACTTAGGGTTTCCTACTTGTACCAAACTTTCTGCTAGTTCATTCATTCCTGCTTCAGTTATTCTGACATGGTTTCAGAGCAGGTCCATCGCTAGGACCTAATTTTCTCGGGCCCATCACTACTGACTGTCTACTAGCGCCCTCGTGCGCCCTACTGTCGGAGCGCGCCTTAGCGCCTACCCCCAGCGCCCTCGCGCGCTTCTTTTTTTTTCTTCGGCCCCGCTGGCCCCGTCGACCCCGCGCGCGCCCCGCTTAGAGGCCCCGCTGGCCCCGTCGACCCCGCTCGCGACCCGCCCCTTAGAGGCCCCGCTGGCCCCGTCGACCCCGCGCGCGCCCCGCCTAGAGGCCCCGCCGGCCCCGTCGGCCCCGCTCGCGCCCCGCCTAGAGGACCAGCCGGCCCCGTCGACCCCGCTCGCGACCCGCCTAGAGGCCCCGCCAGCCCCGTCGACCCCGCTCGCTCCCCGCCTAGAGGCCCCGCCGGCCCCATCGACCCCGCTCGCGACCCGCCTAGAGGCCCCGCCGGCCACGTCGACCTAGCGTGCGCCCCGCCTAGAGGCCCTAGCGGCCCCGTCGACCCCGTGCGCCGCCCCCTCTGGCCCCGTCGACCCCGCGCGCCGCCCCTTAGCGGCCCCGTCGATCCTACCTGCCGCCCCTTAACGCCTCGCACGCGACAGCCATGGCCCCGCCAGAAACGAGCCGCCCTACCTGAGTCGCGCTGCCTACTGCTTTTAGGGTGCACCTACTGCTACTACTGCTGCTACTATGGCTAGTCCTCCTGTGCTAGCTTTCGATGCTGAGGGCCGCCCAGTGAAATTTGACACCTGGCTCGATGACCTGCACCTCTTCCTACAGCTCACTGCCAAGGAGGACGTCTCACTGTACGATCATGCCATCGGCCATACTGTTGGTGTAAGGGCCTAATAAACTCAAGCTATTAGGACTTAATCAAACTTAAAACCTCTCCTCGGGGTCACCTCCAAGGGTCCCTGGGTGCCTGGTACAAGACCAGCCCCTATCCTCGGGTCCGAGTTTGTAGAGAGAGGGATCAAGAAGGACTTAGTCAAAACAGCAAGAGTACCTTGAACGTCGGGCAGCGTAGCGTGCAGACCGTCGGTCGGATTAAGCTGAGAATTCGCTATATCGAAGCTCGCTCCAAGAGCTTTAAAATGAGCCAAGTTGCCTCGCGAAAAGTTCTGCCATTACTAAGTTATGGCTCGGACAGCGTTTGCCTAGCGTTGGAGTGCTAGCATACTAGCGTTGACTCGGGTAGCATTCCGCCGTCGAATAGCGCAGAAACGAAATTCCAGCGAGGAAGGAATTCGCTTGAATCAATTTGACTATATTCAGGTACAAACAGAGAAGGATTAAATAGTTCTAGCTAGCAAGGACCTTGGGAATCAACCTGGGAACAACCAGGGATGATCCCAAATAATTCCAAGCAACAGAACCAACCTGGCTGGACAAAATAGCAGGTGGTAGGTTGGTAAACAACCTCTGGTTCTGTTTTTCCAACCTGGGAAAACAACAACCAGGTTCAGGTTCTAAAAACAGAACCTGTTTTGTCTTTGCCCAACCAGCCAAATGCTGGTTCCGCTGGTTTCCCCTGGCCTTGTAGCATGCAGATACAGACAAACAACATCCAACCTTCACCTAAATTGTACCCCTATAGTGCCTTCCCTGCTACACTATAGTTAACCAAACAAAACAGTACAATTCCGAGTTGGATAGAACTGAATCTGCGCAATCAACTCAACCGAACTGCAAAGCTTCCATCTTGGGTTCCTTTGCGAGCTCGTCCTTCCTGCTTGCACTGTTCATAGCGCATACAATGTTGTGCCAAAGCGCACATTGCGCGAGTACCTGCAAATGCATCAAGCGAAAATTGCGAAAGCAAACAAACACACGAACATTCCATTCACACCCAAATGCATTCGCACACGCATACTCGTACAAACAGACGGCAGGATGTCGTGCAATGTAAATTTGCACCCAACACACTCCCCCTCAGCCTGCCGGCTGCATCCCCATCATTCCATGCTAGTTCATGCTCATTCCACTCATGCGCACACAACGCCAATGAGGCTCATCCGCAAGCCTCTTGGTGAGAAAGTCTGCTGGCTGCTGGTGAGTCTTGATGTAGATCGGATGCACCGTCCCCCTCTTCACCTCCTTACGCAGCCAGTGCCACTTGATACGCATGTGCTTGTTCAGCCCATGAAGCACAGCGTTTCTGGCCATCCCAAGAGCCCCCTTGCTATCACAAAACAGCGGCGTAGCAACTTTCTGCTCCTGGCCAATCTCCTCTAACAGCCTCCTCAGCCAAATCACCTCCTTCACCCCATGGAACATCGCCATGTACTCTGATTCTACGGAAGAGAGTGCCGTCTCCGTCTGCTTCTTGGACCTCCAACTAACAGGTCCTCCCCCAACTACGCAGATGTATCCTCCCACAGATGAGGAATCCTCCTTCTCAGAAGCCCACGTAGCATCGGTAAAGCAAGTGAGAAATAGCTTGCCTTCTCCAAGCCTCTCCCCCTTCTCTTTCAGCACCTCCACCCCTTTCTGCTTCACCTGTGCAGATGCGGAGTATTGAACTCCAATGCTTGGGTGAGAGTTCAGGTACTTCACCACACGCTCAGCTGCATCCACCTGCTCCTCTGATGGATTCTGCACCACCCTAGCCAGCTGCCCAACCGAGAAAGAGATGTCGGGCCTCGTGTGAACTGCTGCGTACAAGAGGCTGCCCACCAAGGACTGAAATTGCTGCTGCTCTTCAGCTTCAACCCCTTCATCCTCTGCAGCCTTCACAAGCTTGAATTCTGCTGGCAGGGGAGTTGCAACCTTGCGCTCATTCTCAATCCCATACTTCTCCCCCAGCTCCTTGATGAACTTCTCCTGGTGCAGCTTCAACCACCTGTGATCTGGATCCCTCTCCACGTGCATCCCGAGGTAGTACTTTACCTCCCCAAGGTTCTTGCACTTGAAGTTTTCCATCAGTTGCTGCTGCACTTTCTGGATCTCCTTCATGCTGCTGCTGAAGAGAAGAATGTCGTCCACATAGACCAGAAACAGCACCAGCTTCTCCCCCTCATCCTTGAGAAAGAGGCTCTCATCACAGCTGCTGGTCCTGAATCCCATCTCCTCTAAAACAGCTGCCAACTTCTGGTACCAGCAGCGTGGCGCCTGCTTCAAGCCGTAGATGGACTTGTTGAGCTTGCACACCCTGCCCGTACCATCCTCATACCCAGGCGGCTGCGTCATGTACACATCCTCCTCTAAAATCCCATTCAGGAATGCCGTTGAAATATCCATCTGAATGATGAATTTCCCACTAACAGCTGCATCTGCCAACAAGACACGGAGGGTAGGGGGTTTGGCAGTGGGAGCAAAGATTTCGTTGAAGTCCTGCTTCTCCTTCTGCATAAACCCCTTCGCCACCAGCCTACTCTTGTAGATGGTGACCTGCCCCTTGTCATCGGTCTTGATCCTCAGCACCCACTTGCATTGTATCGCTTTCTTCCCATCAGGCAGCACCACCAGATCCCATGTCCTATTCTCCAGCAGACTCTGGTACTCAGCATCCCTAGAAGCCAGCCACTTGTCCCTATCTGGTCCAGCTAATGCCTCCTCCATGCTAGCTGGTTCCTCTGGTGCAGGGGCAAGAAAACAGTACGCAGGCTCATCCTCCTCATCCGGGTCATAGCCATGAGGTAGAATCAGCAATGCCTCTTCGGTCCCTAGCTGCTGCTCTGCTGCATCAGTTCCTGCAGTCAGCTTCTTAGTAGCCATACGGGTACGTCCTGGCCTGGAGACGGGTGTCTCCCATCCCTTCATAACGACACCCTTCGGCTTCTTAGTTTTTCCCTGCTGCTTCTCTCCTCCCTCGGGTCCAGCAGCTCCACTAGTGCTGCCGCCAGTTTCCACACCATTTTCTCCACCAGCAGATGCCTCCTGTATCTTCTCTCCATCACCATTTCCAGCAGCTGCCTCCTCTCCCTCCTCCCACACACTAGGAGTCAGGTCCAGCTGCATGGTGATCTGCTCCATCTGCTGGGACACCCTTGCCTCCGGCTGTTTCTCCCAGCTCCCATACATCATGCCCTCAATGAATTTCACATCCCTGCTGTCAAACAACACACCCTTGGATGGTTCCCACAGCAGCCATCCCTTGCTCTCAGCAGCCAGCCCCAAATGCACACACCAGATTGCACTCGCCCCCAACTTACTGCGGTAGGTCTTGGGGACGTGGGCGACTGCCATGCAACCGAACACCCTCAGCATGTCCACCGGCGGCTTCCTCCCAAGCCACCTCTCCAACGGCACCCACGAGTCATCCCCAACCTTGGTGAGCACCCTGTTCCTAGCGACAGTGGCGTGCCGGACAGCATGAGGCCACATAGAATTGCTCAGCCCAGATTCTATGAGCAGCGCCCTAGCTGTCTCCAGAATGGTCCGGTTTGCCCGTTCTGCTACACCATTGGACTGTGGGGTATAAGCTGTGGTCAGCTCTCTCTGGATGCCCTGCTTCTTGAGCCAGGCCGTCATTTCAGCTCCAAGGAACTCACCACCCCGGTCTGTCCTAATCCGCTTCACTACACACTCCGCCTGCTTCTCCACGAATGGCAGCCAATCGTCCCGTATCGTGGAGGCGGCGTGGTCCTTCTGCTTCAGCGGATACGCCCACATCAGCCTGCTCCAGTCATCCACAATTGTAAGAAAATACCGCTCCCCCTTGTGCCCTTGCACCGGCAGCGGCCCCACCAAGTCCATGTGGACCAGCTCCAAAGGCTTCTTGCTCCTGCCAGCCACACTATGGAAAGGGAAACGGGTGAACTTTGAAAGCAAACAGATTTCACAGTTGTAATCGGGTGGCTGTCCGTTCAGCTTCAGACCCTTAACGGCTCCATCCTTCTCCAGCTGCTTCAGCAAAGGCATTGCCACATGCCCTAAGCGCCGGTGTGCCGTTGCCCAATCTGTCTCCCCAGATCTGGCCGACACTTTCACACCAACCCCTCCAACGGCATTGCACTCCCCCTGGGATGCAGACCCCTCTCCAGCCTGCCCCCCACCATGCCACGCCAGGGCCGGTAGCTGCCACATAGATCTGTACACGTCCTTGCTCTCGTGCAGATCCCAAAGCACCCGATTGCCCAGCTTCCCCTTATAAGTGCGTGCCCTATCCGTGTTGGTGTTCACCCCAGCCTTGCCAAGCTTACGGAGGGAGATAAGGTTGGCCTTCAGGTCGGGGACGAAGAGAACGTCGTGCAGCACCACCGGCTTGCCATCCGCTCCCTTAAACGCAGCTCGTCCCGCACCAGCCACCTTCAACATGTGTCCAGAGGCGGAGCACACTTCATTGATCGGTGCAGCTCGTACTTCGTCCAGCAGGTCCTTGCGCGGCGTCATCGTCCAAGCAGCGCCTGTGTCCAACACCCAATAGTCTAGGGGATGCAGCTCTGCTCCAACTTTGGCAGAGGCGTCTCCTTGCTCCCCCTTGTCTCCCACATGGAAGAATTGGCCCGCGGTGCGCTCCTTCTTCTTCTCCGCACCGCCGTTGCCCTTCGGGTTGTTGTCGGACGAATCAGCGACCATGTTGGCGCCGTTTTTCTGGTTCCTCCGCGCGCCGCCATCCTGGTGACGATTCTGGGGGGTCCATCCATCGGGTTTCTTATAGCACAAAAACCAGGGGTGCCCTTCCTTCTCACAATACCAGCAACTCCCTTTCATTTTGCCACCAGCACCCGACTTGCCCCCACGTCCAGATTTCGCACCGCGACCCCAACCGGTACCTCCTTGTTGGTCGTTGGAGTCGTCGTCTTTCTTTGCACCGCGTCCAGCACCACCGAAGCCACGTCCTCTGCCACGTCGGCTCCCTTGCATCCCGTAGCCGCTGCTGCCGTCGTCTCCACCCCTCAGTTGGCGGCGACGGAAGTCCTCCTCCAGAATCTTCGTCTGCACCCACTCGAGCGTCCACAAGCTCTGGTTCTGCGGCAGGCTCAATCCGCTCGTAAATTGAAGCCACGATTCTGGCAGCAGCGAGAGCATCTTCAAGCACTTGGTCTGCTCCGGGTAGGTGATTCCCGCGGTCGCCAACTTCGCGTAGAGGTCGCGCATCTTGTCCAGGACTGGTTGCACCGGCTCTCCCTCGCTCAGGCGCAACGCGGACAGCTCCCTCTCCAGCATCAACGTTGCGACAACGGAGGTCGGGGCGTGCAGCTCCTTCAACACGGTCCACGCCTTCGGACCGCATTCAACCTCCGGCAGCAGGTGCATGACGTGGTGACGCTGGTTCAGCTCCAAACTCTGCGACATCAAATAGTAGCCAGCCGAGGAGCGCTCGTCCCAATCTTCCTGCAGCGTGGGGTCACTCGGTCTAGGCTCCTCCCCAATCATTAGTTTCAGCAAACCGATCTGACGGAAATATAATTGCATTTTCCAGGCCCAATCATCATAGCCCTCACCATTGAACTTCTCGACGGTGAAATTCTTCAGCACCTCCTTGACAAGCGAGCCCTGGTTTGTTCGCGCTCCCCTTGGCGCTGAAAGACCAGAATCTTGGCTGCCGCTACGATCTTGGGCTGAAGATTCACCAGCTCCCGCCGAGGTGTTGCCCGCCATAGCTACCTATAACGAGGATCACTATAACGCAGCTCTGATACCAGCTTGTTGGTGTAAGGGCCTAATAAACTCAAGCTATTAGGACTTAATCAAACTTAAAACCTCTCCTCGGGGTCACCTCCAAGGGTCCCTGGGTGCCTGGTACAAGACCAGCCCCTATCCTCGGGTCCGAGTTTGTAGAGAGAGGGATCAAGAAGGACTTAGTCAAAACAGCAAGAGTACCTTGAACGTCGCGCAGCGTACCGTGCAGACCGTCGGTCGGATTAAGCTGAGAATTCGCTATATCGAAGCTCGCTCCAAGAGCTTTAAAATGAGCCAAGTTGCCTCGCGAAAAGTTCTGCCATTACTAAGTTATGGCTCGGACAGCGTTTGCCTAGCGTTGGAGTGCTAGCATACTAGCGTTGACTCGGGTAGCATTCCGCCGTCGAATAGCGCAGAAACGAAATTCCAGCGAGGAAGGAATTCGCTTGAATCAATTTGACTATATTCAGGTACAAACAGAGAAGGATTAAATAGTTCTAGCTAGCAAGGACCTTGGGAATCAACCTGGGAACAACCAGGGATGATCCCAAATAATTCCAAGCAACAGAACCAACCTGGCTGGACAAAATAGCAGGTGGTAGGTTGGTAAACAACCTCTGGTTCTGTTTTTCCAACCTGGGAAAACAACAACCAGGTTCAGGTTCTAAAAACAGAACCTGTTTTGTCTTTGCCCAACCAGCCAAATGCTGGTTCCGCTGGTTTCCCCTGGCCTTGTAGCATGCAGATACAGATAAACAACATCCAACCTTCACCTAAATTGTACCCCTATAGTGCCTTCCCTGCTACACTATAGTTAACCAAACAAAACAGTACAATTCCGAGTTGGATAGAACTGAATCTGCGCAATCAACTCAACCGAACTGCAAAGCTTCCATCTTGGGTTCCTTTGCGAGCTCGTCCTTCCTGCTTGCACTGTTCATAGCGCATACAATGTTGTGCCAAAGCGCACATTGCGCGAGTACCTGCAAATGCATCAAGCGAAAATTGCGAAAGCAAACAAACACACGAACATTCCATTCACACCCAAATGCATTCGCACACGCATACTCGTACAAACAGACGGCAGGATGTCGTGCAATGTAAATTTGCACCCAACACATACTACTGCCCCTCCTACTACTGCTGACAGCACTGCCCGCTCACAGTGGCAGACTCGTGACGCCCACGCTCGCTTTGCTATTCGCAACTCCCTGCCGATAGATGAGCGCGAGCACTTTGGCCAGCACAAGACTGCTAAGGAACTGTACACTGCTGTCGTTGCTCGCTACTCCTCACCTGCTTCTGCCGCACTAGGCCGCCTCTCACTCCCCTACCTGTTCCCCGACCTGGCCTCCTTTCACACAGTTGCTGACCTCATCACCCACCTCAAGACTAGTGAGGCCCGCTTCCGTGCTGCTATGCCCGATGAGTTCCTTGCTAGGAACCCCCCCCCGCTCTGGCTCACTCTCTACCACATCGTCACCCGCCTCCCTGACTCTCTGCGCGCAGTCAGGGATCACTTCCTAGCTCGCTGCCCCACTGAGCTCACCATTGCCCTCCTCGAGAAGGAACTACTTGCAGCTGAGGCGAGCATCGTCGCTGTAGGTGCTTCTCATGGTGACCCCCGCACCCCTTTCTTTGAGGGGTGTTCCCCTTCCCCCCTTCTTCCCTCTGTAGCCTCTGCTTCTGCTGTCGACCTCCTTGGTGCTGAGAAGGTCGGGATTGCGTCCGTTCCGAGCGGGCGCCGCAGGAGCAGAGGGGGCAGGGGTGGAGGCGGTGGGAGTGGTGGTGGGGCTGGAGGTGGGGGTGGTGACGGCAGCGGCGGGGGCGGTGGCAGGGGCGTGGGCGGTGGCGGGGGCGGCGGTGGTCGTGGCGGCGGCAGGGGAGGGGGTGGTCGAGGAGGTGGCGGCGGCGGTGGTGGTCGTGGAGGCGCTGGCGGTGGCCAGAGCCAGCAGCACACTCCGTCGCTCCAGGAGGCCCGTGAGTGGTATTCGCAGCGCGGGGGGGCGGGTGGCTTTAGCTGCACGTACGTCATCCGCACTGGTGACCGCACTGGTCAGACGTGTGGGAAGCCGCACCCCACGCAGCGCTGTTTCTCTCGCCTTGACGACGCTTGGCGTACTCAGTTCCCTGATGCCACTGAGCTGCCCCGCTGGTTTGATCTGATGAAGAAGGGAGTTGATATCTATGCACTAGACTTTGATGATATTCTTACAGCCATGTATGTGATGTTTACTAGTGGAGAGGGTGCTCAGTACCTGCGTGTTCCGCCCGACCCGGGCATTCGGACCAGTGAGGCTGCCGCTCTAGGTGCTAGTGCTACTGCCGCTCCAGGTACTCGCGTGTCTACTATCTCAGGTGCTGGTGCGGCTGCTGCTCTAGGTGCTAGTGAGTCTGTGCCCCCTGGTACTGAGTCGACTGCAGCACTGCACACCTTCACACTGGACTCAGGTGCTTCTCGCTGTTTCTTTCGTGACCGCACTGTCCTTGAGCCACTCGCTCGGCCAGTTGCTGTCTCCCTCGCTGACCCCTCAGGGGGTCCGGTCATTGCGACCTCCTCCACTGTCCTCCCTTGTCCTGCGGTCCCGTCCGGCACACTGTCAGGTCTCCACCTCCCCTCGTTCTCTACGAACTTGGTGGCGGGTTGTGCGCTCCAGGACGGGGGTGTTCACCAGTTCACCCCTGCCTACGAGCGCGTGACACACTGCACGTGTGCTCGGACGGGCCGTCACCTGGCTACCTTCACTCGGCAGCCAGGGTCGGACCTGTACACACTGACCACTGAGTCCCCTCAGGTAGCTGCGTCTGCGTCTGCGTCAGGTCAGCTGTCGGCCCCCTGCTCGTGTCGCTCTCTGGCGCACGAGACCGTCCTCTGGCACCACCGACTTGGTCACCCGTCTGTGCAGCGCCTTCGTGCCATGCACAAGCGGTACCTTGTCTCTGGTCTTCCCAGGGTTCTCCCTCCCCTCCCACCCTCGCCTGCTCCTCCCTGTCTTCCCTGTGTCGAGGGGCGGCAGCGCGCCGCTCCTCACTCCTCGTTTCCCCCGACGACTGCTCCCTTGCAGACGCTCCACATGGACGTGTGGGGCCCAGCCCGCGTCCGTGGACAGGGTCAGGAGAGGTACTTCCTGATTGTTGTTGACGACTACTCGCGCTACACCACGGTCTTCCCCTTGTGCACCAAGGGTGAGGTCCCTGATGTCTTGATCCCTTGGATCCGCAGAGCTCGTCTCCAGCTCAGCGAGCGTTTCCGCTCGGACTTTCCTGTCCTGCGTTTGCACTCTGACAAAGGTGGTGAGTTCTCCTCCGACCTCCTGGCAGCCTACTGTGCGGAGCACGGCATTGAGCAGTCGTTCATGCTTCCGGCCTCTCCACAGCAAAATGGGGTTGCTGAGCGCCGCATTGGCTTGGTCATGGAGGTCGCTCGTACCTCCTTGATCCATGCGGCTGCCCCCCACTTTCTGTGGCCGTTTGCGGTCCGATACGCTGCGCATCAACTCAACCTCTGGCCCCGTGTCTCCTTGCCGGAGACTTCCCCGACACTGCGTTGGACGGGAGAGGTTGGCGATGCGTTGCGTTTTCGGGTCTGGGGATCCCGAGCTTTTGTTCGCGATACGTCCGCGGACAAGCTCTCCTCTCGCGCTGTTCCTTGTGTCTTCCTTGGCTTTGTCCCGGACGCGCCTGGTTGGCAGTTTTACCACGTGACCTCGTGCCGTGTCCTGTCCTCTCAGGACGTCACTTTCGACGAGTCCGTCCCCTACTACCGCCTCTTCCCCTACCGCACTGCCCCACTCCCCCCCCCCGCCTCTCTTCCTCGCTCCTGGTGCTGCTGTACTAGACCCCCTTCCCCCTCAGGGTGCCGCTCCCTCAGGTGTGTCCCAGGTAGACCCGGTTGAGCCTGTCGAGGTAGCTGTCGACTCTCGTCCTGCTTGGGGTACTGAGCCTGCGGGTGCTGAGCGTGAGGGTGTGGAGCTTGAGTGTGCGTGCTGAGCCTGGGGGTGCGGAGCTTGGGGGTGCGGAGCCTGGGGGTGTGGAGTCTGGGGGAGCGGAGCCTGGGGGTTGCGGAGTCTGGGGGTGCTGAGCCTGGAGGTGCTGAGCCTGGGGGTGCTGAGTCTGGGGGTGCTGAGTCTGGAGACGCTGAGCCTGGGAGTGCTCCACCTGGAGGAGCCCTCTCCTCGCAGCAGCTGCAGGAGAGGTACTTACAGTACTGCAGCCTCAGGAGAGGTACTAGTGCTTCCCCTCCTGGCCAGGAGCTCCCCTCCCTTCAGCGGATCCGAGAGTGGTACACGCGGCGCTGCAGCCTTCGGAGTGGCGCTCCTGGTGTCGCGGACCCTGGAGTAGGCACTGTGGCTGGTGCTGAGGACACGGGCATTAGAGCTGGTACTGGTGCTGACGACCCTGGAGTTGGCGCTGTGGCCAGTACTGAGGACCCGGGCGTTGGAGCTGCTACTGGTGCTGCGGACCCTGGAGTTGGCGCTGTGGCTGGTGCTGAGGACACGGGCGTTGGAGCTGCTATTGGTGCTGACGACCCTGGAGTTGGCGCTGTGACTGGTGCTGAGGACCCGGGCGTTGGAGCTGCTACTGGTGCTGCGGACCCTGGAGTTGGCGCTGTGGCTGGTGCTGAGGACACGGGCGTTGGAGCTGCTGCTGGTGCTGCGGACCCTGGGGTTGGAGCTGCTGCTGGTGCTGAGGACCCTGCCGCTGGTGTCTCTGCTGGTTCTGGAGACGCTGCGCGGCCACGACCGTACTTCGTGCCGCTCCTTCAGCAGGTTCTTGGTCAGACTCCTCCTCCTTGTCCTTCTCCCTCCTTAGAGTGTCCTCCACCTGTCCAGTCGCAGTCACAGTTACCGCCTGCCTCGCCTCTCCCTGGTCCTTCTCCTTACACTGGTCCCACAGGAGGTCTTACGGAGCGTCGTGAGCCTGAGTCTCCTCCTGTGTCGCCTGAGTCTCGCTCTGCGTCACCTGTTAGTGCTGCTCGCACTGGTCGTCGTGTCCCGCGTCAGCGTCCTCCTGCTGTCCCAGGCACTCACCAGATAGTGCTCTGTCGCTCCACTGCTCCCCAGCGTGTCCCTCTGCCGTCTCCTCCTGTGTCCTCTCTTCCTACTCTTCCTGACCCGGAGTCTGACTCCCTTCAGGCTGCTAGTCCCACTGTCACACGTCTCCTCGGCACGGCTGTCACTGACCCTACCTTTGAGTCCTCAGCTGCGTCTGCTCTGGTCGCTGAGCTGGTTGACTTTGCTGCCCGGTGTCGTCTAGACTACGCTGCTAGCCTTGTTGCTGAGTCTGAGTCTGTCTGTCCTCCGTCCGTCGGGGGTGAGTGTGCTCTTGGCACGGACGTCCTTGAGGACAGACAGGAGGAGTTCCAGTGCTTTGCTGCTGCTTTGCCCCATCTCGTGTCCATGCTAGTCGCCCCTGAGGGAGACCTGGATGCACCAGACATCCCGACTCCGCGCTCTTACGCAGAGGCGATGGCGGGTCCCTACTCCTCTCAGTGGCAGACAGCCATGGACGCAGAGATGGCCTCCTGGAAGTCCACAGGCACCTACGTTGACGAGGTTCCCCCACCTGGGGCGAACATCGTCAGTGGCATGTGGATTTTCAGGGTGAAGCGGCCGCCGAGTTCTCCTCCTGTCTTCAAGGCGCGCTACGTTGCTCGAGGCTTCAGTCAGCGAGAGGGAGTAGACTTCTTCCAGACCTTCTCCCCCACCCCGAAGATGACCACTCTTCGGGTGCTACTGCACATAGCCGCTCAGCGCGACTACGAGCTTCACTCACTTGACTTCAGCACTGCTTTCTTACAGGGCAGCCTGCACGAGGAGATCTGGCTGCGCCGCCCTCCTGGCTTCACTGGGTCGTTTCCTTCTGGTACCCAGTGGAGCCTCCGGCGGCCGGTCTACGGTCTCCGCCAGGCACCACGTGAGTGGCACGACACACTGAGGACGACACTTGCGACTCTTGGGTTCGCTCCCTCTACTGCTGACCCGTCGCTGTTTCTACGCACCGACACCTCGCTGCCACCGTTCTACATCCTCGTGTACGTCGACAACTTGGTCTTTGCCACTGCTGACACTGCGGCACTCGCCCACGTGAAGTCGGAGCTGCAGAAGAGACACACGTGCACAGACCTGGGTGAACTGACAAGCTATCTTGGCTTGCGGATCATCCGGGACAGAGCACGGCGCACCATCACCTTGACTTAGTCACACATGGTGCAGCAGGTCCTTCAGCGCTTCCGCTTCACGTACTCCTCGCCTCAGTCCACTTCTCTGCCTACCGGTCACTCGCTCTCAGCTCTGCCTTCGGATGAGTCCGTAGAGCCGAGTGGCCCGTATCCAGAGCTTGTGAGCTGCCTCATGTACCTGATGACCTGCACTCGTCCTGACCTTGCATACCCTCTTAGCATCCTTGCACGCTATGTCGCTCCTGGCCGTCACCGGAAGGAGCACATGGATGCCGCTAAGAGGGTGTTGCGCTACTTGTGCAGTACGTCGGGCATGGGACTAGTGCTTGGAGGGCGAGACCGAGTTGTACTCACTGGGCACTCAGACGCCTCTTAGGTAGACGACCAGGCTACTCAGCGGTCGTCTCAGGGTTACACCTTCAGTCTTGGCTCTGGTTCAGTTTCTTGGCGTTCTACACGCTCTTCTTCTGTTCTCAGCTCCAGTTGTGAGGCTGAGATCTACGCCACAGCCATGGCGGCCCAGGAGCTACGCTGGCTCACCTACCTGCTGACCGACTTGGGAGAGCGGCCTCGTTCTCCTCCAGTGCTGTACGTCGACAACCAGGCTGCCATTGCCTTGTGTGAGGAGCACAGACTGGAGCACAGAACGAAGCACATCGCTCTGCGTTACTTCCTTGCTCGAGAGCTACAGCAGCGCGGTCAGCTTCGTCTGCATTACGTGGCCACTGAGGCCAACACTACTGATGTGTTCACCAAGGCGCTTCAGCCTTGTGACCATCAGCGTTTCTGTACTCTTCTAGGCCTTGTGCCTACTGGACCTCACTTGCTTACTGCTTGACTCTGCTTGTACTGTGATCTCTATATATATACCTGCATGTGTACTCTTGCTAGGTTGTGATTGCTGTATCTCTTGTTATATTATTAACCTGCATGTGAACTGGTCTTGTGACCACTAGCTGTTGGGTGCAAATGCACATTGCACGACATCCTGCCGTCTGTTTGTACGAGTATGCGTGTGCGAATGCATTTGTGTGTGAATGGTGTGTTCGTGTGTTTGTTTGCTTTCGCATTTTTCGCTTGATGCATTTGCAGGTACTCGCGCAATGTGCGCTTCGGCACAACATTGTACGCGCTATGAACAGTGCAAGCAGAAAGGACGAGCTCGCAAAGGAACCCAAGATGGAAGCTTTGCAGTTCGGTTGAGTTGATTGCGCAGATTCAGTTCTATCCAACTCGAAATTGTACTGTTTTGTTTGGTTAACTATAGTGTAGCAGGGAAGGCACTATAGGGGTACAATTTAGGTGAAGGTTGGATGTTGTTTGTCTGTATCTGCATGCTACAAGGCCAGGGGAAACCAGCGGAACCAGCATTTGGCTGGTTGGGCAAAGACAAAACAGGTTCTGTTTTTAGAACCTGAACCTGGTTGTTGTTTTCCCAGGTTGGAAAAACAGAACCAGAGGTTGTTTACCAACCTACCACCTGCTATTTTGTCCAGCCAGGTTGGTTCTGTTGCTTGGAATTATTTGGGATCATCCCTGGTTGTTCCCAGGTTGATTCCCAAGGTCCTTGCTAGCTAGAACTATTTAATCCTTCTCTGTTTGTACCTGAATATAGTCAAATTGATTCATGCGAATTCCTTCCTCGCTGGAATTTCGTTTCTACGCGGTTCGTTGGCGGAATGCTACCCGAGTCAACGCTAGTACGCTAGCACTCTAATGCTAGGCAAACACCATCTGAGCCATAACTTCGTAATGGCAGAACTTTTCGCGAGGCAACTTGGCTCATTTTAAAGCTCTTGGAGCGAGCTTCGATATAGCGAATTCTCAGCTTAATCCGATCGACGGTCTGCACGGCACGCTGCGCGACGTTCAAGGTACTCTTGCTGTTTTGACTAAGTCCTTCTTGATCCCTCTCTCTACAAACTCGGACCCGAGGATAGGGGCTGGTCTTGTACCAGGCACCCAGGGACCCTTGGAGGTGACCCCGAGGAGAGGTTTTAAGTTTGATTAAGTCCTAATAGCTTGAGTTAATTAGGCCCTTACACCAACAAGCTGGTATCAGAGCTGCGTTATAGTGATCCTCGTTATAGGTAGCTATGGCGGGCAACACCTCGGCGGGAGCTGGTGAATCTTCAGCCCAAGATCGTAGCGGCAGCCAAGATTCTGGTCTTTCAGCGCCAAGGGGAGCGCGAACAAACCAGGGCTCGCTTGTCAAGGAGGTGCTGAAGAATTTCACCGTCGAGAAGTTCAATGGTGAGGGCTATGATGATTGGGCCTGGAAAATGCAATTATATTTCCGTCAGATCGGTTTGCTGAAACTAATAATTGGGGAGGAGCCTAGACCGAGTGACCCCACGCTGCAGGAAGATTGGGACGAGCGCTCCTCGGCTGGCTACTATTTGATGTCGCAGAGTTTGGAGCTGAACCAGCGTCACCACGTCATGCACCTGCTGCCGGAGGTTGAATGCGGTCCGAAGGCGTGGACCGTGTTGAAGGAGCTGCACGCCCCTACCTCCGTTGTCGCAACGTTGATGCTGGAGAGGGAGCTGTCCGCGTTGCGCCTGAGCGAGGGAGAGCCGGTGCAACCAGTCCTGGACAAGATGCGCGACCTCTACGCGAAGTTGGCGACCGCGGGAATCACCTACCCGGAGCAGACCAAGTTGTTGAAGATGCTCTCGCTGCTGCCGGAATCGTGGCTTCAATTTACGAGCGGATTGAGCCTGCCGCAGAACCAGAGCTTGTGGACGCTCGAGTGGGTGCGGACGAAGATTCTGGAGGAGGACTTCCGTCGCCGCCAACTGAGGGGTGGAGACGACGGCAGCAGCGGCTACGGGATGCAAGGGAGCCGACGTGGCAGAGGACGTGGCTTCGGTGGTGCTGGACGCGGTGCAAAGAAAGACGACGACTCCAACGACCAACAAGGAGGTACCGGTTGGGGTCGCGGTGCGAAATCTGGACGTGGGGGCAAGTCGGGTGCTGGTGGCAAAATGAAAGGGAGTTGCTGGTATTGTGAGAAGGAAGGGCACCCCTGGTTTTTGTGCTATAAGAAACCCGATGGATGGACCCCCCAGAATCGTCACCAGGATGGCGGCGCGCGGAGGAACCAGAAAAACGGCGCCAACATGGTCGCTGATTCGTCCGACAACAACCCGAAGGGCAACGGCAGTGCGGAGAAGAAGAAGGAGCGCACCGCGGGCCAATTCTTCCATGTAGGAGACAAGGGGGAGCAAGGAGACGCCTCTGCCAAAGTTGGAGCAGAGCTGCACCCCCTAGACTATTGGGTGTTGGACACAGGCGCTGCTTGGACGATGACGCCGCGCAAGGACCTGCTGGACGAAGTACGAGCTGCACCGATCAATGAAGTGTGCTCCGCCTCTGGACACATGTTGAAGGTGGCTGGTGCGGGACGAGCTGCGTTTAAGGGAGCGGATGGCAAGCCGGTGGTGCTGCACGACGTTCTCTTCGTCCCCGACCTGAAGGCCAACCTTATCTCCCTCCGTAAGCTTGGCAAGGCTGGGGTGAACACCAACACGGATGGGGCACGCACTTATAAGGGGAAGCTGGGCAATCGGGTGCTTTGGGATCTGCACGAGAGCAAGGACGTGTACAGATCTATGTGGCAGCTGCCGGCCCTGGCGTGGCATGGTGGGGGGCAGGCTGGAGAGGGGTCTGCATCCCAGGGGGAGTGCAATGCCGTTGGAGGGGTTGGTGTGAAAGTGTCGGCCAGATCTGGGGAGACAGATTGGGCAACGGCACACCGGCGCTTAGGGCATGTGGCAATGCCTTTGCTGAAGCAGCTGGAGAAGGATGGAGCCGTTAAGGGTCTGAAGCTGAACGGACAGCCACCCGATGACAACTGTGAAATCTGTTTGCTTTCAAAGTTCACCCGTTTCCCTTTCCATAGTGTGGCTGGCAGGAGCAAGAAGCCTTTGGAGCTGGTCCACATGGACTTGGTGGGGCCGCTGCCGGTGCAAGGGCACAAGGGGGAGCGGTATTTTCTTACAATTGTGGATGACTGGAGCAGGCTGATGTGGGCGTATCCGCTGAAGCAGAAGGACCACGCCGCCTCCACGATACGGGACGATTGGCTGCCATTCGTGGAGAAGCAGGCGGAGTGTGTAGTGAAGCGGATTAGGACAGACCGGGGTGGTGAGTTCCTTGGAGCTGAAATGACGGCCTGGCTCAAGAAGCAGGGCATCCAGAGAGAGCTGACCACGGCTTATACCCCACAGTCCAATGGTGTAGCAGAACGGGCAAACCGGACCATTCTGGAGACAGCTAGGGCGCTGCTCATAGAATCTGGGCTGAGCAATTCTATGTGGCCTCATGCTGTCCGGCACGCCACTGTCGCTAGGAACAGGGTGCTCACCAAGGTTGGGGATGACTCGTGGGTGCCTTTGGAGAGGTGGCTTGGGAGGAAGCCGCCGGTGGACATGCTGAGGGTGTTCGGTTGCATGGCAGTCGCCCACGTTCCCAAGACCTACCGCAGTAAGTTGGGGGCGAGTGCAATCTGGTGTGTGCATTTGGGGCTGGCTGCTGAGAGCAAGGGATGGCTGCTGTGGGAACCATCCAAGGGTGTGTTGTTTGACAGCAGGGATGTGAAATTCATTGAGGCCATGATGTATGGGAGCTGGGAGAAACAGCCGGAGGCCCGGGTGTCCCAGCAGATGGAGCAGATCACCATGCAGCTGGACCTGACTCCTAGTGTGTGGGAGGAGGGAGAGGAGGCAGCTGCGGGGAATGGTGATGGAGAGAAGGTACAGGAGGCACCTGCTGGTGGAGAAAATGGTGTGGAAACTGGCGGCAGCACTAGTGGAGCTGCTGGACCCGAGGGAGGAGAGAAGCAGCAGGGAAAAACTAAGAAGCCGAAGGGTGTCGTTATGAAGGGATGGGAGACACCCGTCTCCAGGCCAGGACGTACCCGTATGGCTACTAAGAAGCTGACTGCAGGAACTGATGCAGCAGAGCAGCAGCTAGGGACCGAAGAGGCATTGCTGATTCTACCTCATGGCTATGACCCGGATGAGGAGGATGAGCCTGCGTACTGTTTTCTTGCCCCTGCACCAGAGGAACCAGCTAGCATGGAGGAGGCATTAGCTGGACCAGATAGGGACAAGTGGCTGGCTTCTAGGGATGCTGAGTACCAGAGTCTGCTGGAGAATAGGACATGGGATCTGGTGGTGCTGCCTGATGGGAAGAAAGCGATACAATGCAAGTGGGTGCTGAGGATCAAGACCGATGACAAGGGGCAGGTCACCATCTACAAGAGTAGGCTGGTGGCGAAGGGGTTTATGCAGAAGGAGAAGCAGGACTTCAACGAGATCTTTGCTCCCACTGCCAAACCCCCTACCCTCCGTGTCTTGTTGGCAGATGCAGCTGTTAGTGGGAAATTCATCATTCAGATGGATATTTCAACGGCATTCCTGAATGGGATTTTAGAGGAGGATGTGTACATGACGCAGCCGCCTGGGTATGAGGATGGTACGGGCAGGGTGTGCAAGCTCAACAAGTCCATCTACGGCTTGAAGCAGGCGCCACGCTGCTGGTACCAGAAGTTGGCAGCTGTTTTAGAGGAGATGGGATTCAGGACCAGCAGCTGTGATGAGAGCCTCTTTCTCAAGGGCGAGGGGGAGAAGCTGGTGCTGTTTCTGGTCTATGTGGACGACATTCTTCTCTTCAGCAGCAGCATGAAGGAGATCCAGAAAGTGCAGCAGCAACTGATGGAAAACTTCAAGTGCAAGAACCTTGGGGAGGTAAAGTACTACCTCGGGATGCACGTGGAGAGGGATCCAGATCACAGGTGGTTGAAGCTGCACCAGGAGAAGTTCATCAAGGAGC